AAAATCTGCGTCCTGCTCCGGTTTCTGACTTTGAGGGCTGAGCTGAGTGAGGACACTGAGGACCAGGAAGAGGAGAGAGGAAGTGAGGGGAGGAGCTGTCCACAGTGACTCATGCGAGAGGGCTCTGCACAGAAAGTAGGCTGTACAACTAGCGCTGTGCTGGAGACAAAGAAGGCTGTCCTGTTCTGTCAACAGGGTCAGCCCAGCAGGAGGCTTAAACTCCCATGTAAGCGTTTATGCAGTCAGTACAGGACCCCTGTGTGTGTGAAGCAAACAGGGGCCGACAGCAAGGGAAAGATGAACAGCACTGCAGTCATGGTGGGGTATTGCACCCCACTGGCATCAACGACGGGTCTTTCAGACAGAAATTCCGCAGGGAAATAGCGGCCTTCCACGATACACTGGACCCCATGAATGTAATGAATGTGTCCAGAGCACCTCACCCAAGAGCAACAGAACACACAGTTTTTTCCAAAGCACATGGAACATTTTCTTGGATAGTGCACATTTTGGAACTCAAAGCAAGTCTTAATAAATTTAAGATAATTGCAATCATAACAAAAATCTTCTCTGACCTCCATAGTTTGAAACTAGAAATCAAGAACAAAAAAAACCCACCAGAAAAGCACACAAATACACAGAGACTGAATAACAGGCTACTAAAGAATAAATGGGTTAATGATGAGATTAAGGAAGAAATCAAACAATACCCCGAGACAAATGCAAGTGAAGACACAAAAACCCAAAATTTATGGGACACAGCAAGAGCAGTTCTAACACGAAAGTTCACAGTGTTACAGGCCCACCCCCAGAAGCAAGAAAAATCTCGGTGCCCTCTGGAGAGCCCGCCTGAGCCCCCCTTTCAGCCTGGAGCCCCTCAGAGGTCCTCCGGGGCAACGTCAGCCCACCATTGCCTCGCTCCGATGTTTACCACTCGGAGGAACCTGGTCCCACACTGTCCACTCTCTTGGATGTGCAGGCCCCTCTCAAATGTCCAAATAAACTGCAGGGACTCTTCTTGAAAACTGCAGAGGAAAAGTCAGCCACTGATCCAGAGTGAGACAGCATCAACACCCGAACAAATTACTTAAGAAGTGCTTTTCTTATGATAATGCACATATGTGACTTGGAGTGTGCAAAAAAGATATGTGAACAATGGCCATATTTCATACCTTTTTAAAAATGTAAAATGTGCCCTGACTAGTGTGGCTCAGTGGATTGAGCACCAGCCTGCAACCAAAAAGTCACCAGTTCCACTCCCAGTCAGGGCACATCCCTGGGTTGCCAGCCAGGTCCTCCGTTGGGGGAGATCAGGAGGCACCTACACACTGGTGTTTCTCTCCCTCTCTCCCTCCCTTCCCTTCTCTCTAAAAGTAAATAAATAAAATCTTTTTGGGGGGAGAAAAGGACAGAAAAATGTACTTGAACAATGATTAAAATAAAATTTTTAAAAAAAAGAATATATATGCATCCCTATGTTCACTGCAACTTTATTCATGGTAGCCAAGACATGGAAACAATCTAAGTGCCATCTGATGTCTGACTGGACCAGGACGATGTGGCCCATGTACTCAACAGAACACACTCAGCCACGGGAAGGATGGAATACTGCCATTTGCAACAACATGCATGGATCTTGAGAGAATCGTGCCAAGCAAAATGAGTCAGAGGCAAAAGGATGAAAAGCTTATAATTTCACTCAAAGGTGGGATATCAAACAGTGAGCAACAAGAGAACAAACAAGAAAAACAGACAAAGAAATCCTCACAGATACGACAATTTGGTGGTTACCAGAGGGGATGTGGGGAGGGGGAGGAGAGAAGAGGAGAAAGGGCTCAAACACACGATGATGGAAGAGAACTTGACTTCGGGTGGTGAGCATACAATTGAATATGCAGAACACATGAGGGGCTGAGACGCTGACTCAGAGCTGAGGCCTCAGATCCGGAGCAGGAGATGCTGGCAATTTTGTGCAACATGACCACTTGTTGAGCCCTTTGTTGACTCCAAATCCCAGTTTAGGAAGAATCTTAGAAAATCAACATGCTTTTTAGGAGGAAGAACTTGAGCACTGTTGGTGTAGGCACTCTGTTTTTCACATTTATTTATAAACGTAGATGAGGCTGCTCTTATTCTTTTCTTTTTTTTAAGATTAATTTATTTGTTTATTTTTAGACAGGGGAGAAGGGAGGGAGAAAGAGAGGAAGAGAAACATGAACATGTACTTGCCTGTCACACACCCCTACTAGGGACCTGGCCCACAACCCAGTCATGTGTCCTAACTGGGAATCAAACCAGTGACCTGCTGGTTCACGCAGGTCGGTGTAAGATCCACCAAGCCACACCAGACAGGGCAAGACTGCTCTTTTAAAAACACATGTTGGTTTGAAACCTCCCAGGAGTAATCTGAAGGCAGGCTTCCCATGGTGTGGGGAGAGACCCTGGATAGCAGCAGACCACTGCAGATGGGAGGTGGCTGATTAATGAGCCAGGGAACTTACAGGGCTTGTCGTAGGTGGTCCCCAAGACAAATATTTTGTGCACCTGCCACATCTGAAAAGTGTATATAGATCCCTTGGCTGGGCTTAGTCACCTGCACCATCCAGATGGTCTCAAAAACATGTCACTCTCTCAAGGCTGTGTCCCTGGTGCAGCTCTTGGGAAGCTGCCACACATTCTGAGGATGTGTTGAAGGGGCAGGGATCTGGGGTCTACCTTTCAGGTCAACTGGAGGTCACATTCTTCCCATGACCATCCTAGTATAACAGACACAGTGGATTCACCACTCCACACCCGGAGCCAAAGGGACACCAGCCTTGATGGAAGAAACATGCCAAGTGTTACTTGTCACTTTCACAAGTGACAAGTGAAGGACACAGAGGAATGATTTCCAAAGCTCAGCCTCTCCCAGGGGAGGCTCCGCCTTCATTCACACCCACTGTCCTGGCAGTTCCACGCTGAGCCCCTCTTTGCAGCGGCTCACCTATCAGTCACGTCCCAGGTCAAGCTCTTCCCGTTTCAGCTCCTCTGCTCAACACAGTGCGACAATTTAGCGTCTAGGAGGAAGTGCCCAAGCTGAGACCCTTGTCCCACCTGTCACTGGCACCCCACCCTGCTGACCACCCTTACAATTACACATACCCCTGTTCTTCTGCAGTGGGCACTGAGAGGGCAGAAGGAGCTTCACGAGCTCGAAGGTGGCCTGTTTGGTGGCTGCTCTCGCAGATGCCACAGCACCACTGCAGTCCCACGTGAAAGAAAACACAGGTAAGACAGCAATTCCCAAAATCAGGAACAAACTTCTACACCCAGAACCCCAGGACCCAAACCACTGACCCCCTGGGCTGGGGGTCAGATCCCTTAGGGCACTGACTTGTATCCTCATGTGATTTAGTAAATGTGATAAATTAGCGTACTCATCAGGTATGAACACAAACTATTCTGCTTAGATTATGACAGAGAGTTCAGCTCTTGGGAGGAATGTTTCTGGTGTCAGAAAGCACTGGAGGGGATGTTTTACAAATACAACAATAAAGATCAGGGTGTGTCTGAAAGAGAAGCGACCATGGGCATTGCTCAGATGGATCAATCCCTCTAATGATGTACTTGGGGGAGAGTCAAATGCGGGGGTTTCCTATAGGCAGTGACACAGGGTATGCAAGTGACAAGGGACAATGCTGGTAGCAGTGAGGAAATGACACCCTAACCCTGAGGGGGTAAAGGAGAGCTGGAATCCAGAAGTGGGGATGGGTAGAGGAGCTATAACCATGGCTTCGTGTTGCAACAGGTCAGAGATGACCTTGCAGGGAGGGAGGCAGGAGAGCAAATACCCTGACCTCACTTTCCTACCCTGAGAGGTCTCCTGCTCGACTTCCTACTGGCAGGAGCCCAGCAAGACTCAGAGACCCAGGGAGCCCACTGACGTGGACAGACAGGACAGGGGCCTCAGGTCGGGGCCCCTCTCACTCAGCGCTGTTCTCGCCACATGTTCACAGCAGCGCAGTGTCTGCAGACCACCTGTAAGCAGGACACGCTTGGCAGGAGCCCCCCAGGTAAGTGCAGCCAACTGCAAAGAGGAAGCCGATGTGGCACTAACCAGTGAGCACACATAAGCACTGGCTCCGCCTCCCTTCTGTGAGACAGAATTTTGGTTTGGGTTTTTTTTAAAGATTTTATTTATTTATTTTAAGAGAGGGGAAGGGAGGGGGAAGGGAGGGAGAAAGAGAGGGAGAGAAACATCAATGTGTGGTTGCCTCTCACTCACTCCCCACCAGGGACCTGGCCTGCAACCCAGGCATGTGTCCTGACTGGGAATCGAAGTGGCGACCCTTTGGTTCACCCACTGACACTCAGTCCACTGAGCCATACCAGCCAGGGCTGAGAGAGAGAATTTTGGAATGTATATCCCCCATCTCCTTCACTTGCTACACGTAAATAAGACCACGTTGTGACAACCATTTCTCGTCATTGAAAGGAACTCGCCAAGTGGAGAACCCTCTGAATTCAGTAACAACGTGGCCCATGTAGGTCAGCCTCCTGGGGCACAGAGCTATGGTGAAGGGGGGAAAAGTGTGGATCTACAGAGGCAAAGGAAAAATATTTGGCACAGAATGTATTTTTAAGTTAGTCAGGGACATTTTACGTTAGAATGGTAAATTAATAAGAAAAGAGAGAAAAGCAACAAGAGGGTTTAGCACCTTCCAGTCCGCCAAGGACCACAGGACCGTCTTGCTGGAGAGGCCTGCTGCTTCACTGACCACCGGGTCGTAGACGTGGATGGAGAAAACGAGCACCACCAGAGGAGCTGACACGTGGCACACACAGGCTTTTCATTTGATTTCCCTAAATTCAGTTTTTGAACTCTGCACAGTGTATTCTGGCCTGACTGTGCCCATTCAGTCACTCCTTACCTGCGTTGGCACTCTGGGGGTGGGGGAACGAGCTGGGAGGATGCTCTGGGGAGCTGTCGCTGCACAACAGACCAGCCCGAAGCTTAGTGGTTTGAAACAGCATCATTTATTTTTCTCATGAATCTACAAACTGGGCGGGATGGGGTGGGGATGGCCCAGCTTTGCTGTCTGCAGCTTCCCCTGAGGCGGCTCTGCTGGTAGCTGGAGAGCCCACCGCCCTGTGCCCACACCTGCACGGCTGGCAGGTGGTCTCACTGGCAGATGGAAGAGCAGGCAGGGGACGGGGCCAGGATTCCAGTCCTCTTCCTGGGGCCTCTCCATGGGCAACATGGGCTTCCTCACAGCACGGGGGCCACGTTCTGAGGGCAGGTACCCCAGAGAGCAAGGCAACACTGTCCCCGTCTAACTTCAGAAGTCAGACCAGCCACTACTCATCAAAGCAGTCACAGAGTCCATGGAATTTGAAGGAGGGGACACAGTCCCCATCACCCAACAGAAGGAGCAACAGCGCAGAGTACAAGAAGCAGAGCTGGGGTAGTGGATATCATTATAGCCATCTTTGGAAAATACAATCTACCACATTGACAAATCACAGTAATTAAGAAGAAAAAATAAAATTTGCATCAGTTACAGAACCTATGCCATATATTTGAAAGCATACCAAAAATCCGTTTGAAAATACTTTTAAATATATTTGCTTCACCTTCTTCCCTTACAATTTTCATTTTGTGTTCATATTCCTCCTTTATGGATGCCATTTGTTTCTCCATTTCTTGCTTTGATATCTCTCCTCGATCATATTTCTCTTTTACCTTTTCTTCCTTATGTGCTCGTTCAGCAGCAATTTTGTTCAGTGACTCTTCCACACGTTTCCATGTTTTCTCTGTGTCCTTGTAGATGGGATCCGAAAAGTGAGCCCCTCCGTTCTCCTGCACCATTGCCTCGATCAGCCCCACCAGCTCCTGCACTTGAGCTTCCTTCTCAGCCTCGTCTGCATTTCTGTTGTTGAAGGCACAGCGGCGATTCCCACTCTCCCTCATAATGGTTTTTAGGCGTTCATCTGCATTTTCTAAAAAGCTACTGAGCTCCTAACCTTCCAATTCTTCTTTCCGAGTGAACAAGACGATCATGTGCTTCATGGCTGACTTCCCAAAGATGACCTTGATCAATTCTACTGTTCTTTGCTCCTCCTGCGTGAAGCGGCCCAGAGGTACAACCAGGATGATGGCGTGAGGCCCAGGGCTGGAGAAGAGGACACACTGGCTGACTTCCCTACAGGTGGTCGATAGCGCCTTCTCAGTGTCAAAGAGCCCGGGGGTGTCCACAACAAGAAGCTTCCTCCCCTTCCAGGCCCTCTCTTCTTTCTGACATTTCTCGGTAACAGACCCGGGAGCAATTCTAGAATCAAATGTTCTTTTCCCAAGAATGGTGTTTCCTGTTGCACTTTTCCCACATCCAGTTTTTCCCACCAGAACAATCCTCAGAGTGTTGTCCTGAAGGCCGGCCATGCTGGTTCAAGAGAATCTGGGTGCAGCTTCCTGCAAGACACTGAGGAGGGGAAAGAGATGAGGAGGGGTCAGCTTAGGCAAGTGGAGACCATTCCAACTCTCTGCCTTTCATTGAAAATTTGTACTACTCTATTATACATATTGATCCCAGGGACAACAGAGAGATGGCAGGGGTCAATTGCTACAGAGGAAATAAGAGTTTCCCCACAAAGGAGTGCCAGATCCGGGGCCAGGTCTCTCCCAGAGGAGCACACCTACTCCTTAACAGCTCTGCTCTCTCAGTGCTCCCTGAGCTGTCCCTGATCACACACAAACGAAGGAAAAGTTTCAGGCCTTTCTGAGAATCAAGTATAATATTGATCCCAAAGGCTAACCAAGATTTCGCCAATAAATAAAGCTACAGATGTCTCTCATTTGGAAATAGTAATACAAAGTCTTAGATATATTATTACATACTTTAAAAAGTACACACCATAGTTAAGAGGGATTTACTTCAGGAATACTAGGATGGTTCAACATGATAAAATTCTTACAACACATCCCATTATTAGATGAAGAAGAAAACTACCCGGATGCTGAAAAGACATTTGACCGGATTCAACTCTGACTCATGGTTAAAACATTTCATAAAAATGCAATTAATAAATATTTCTTTATAGTTAAAACAATGGATTATAAAGGTGATTTGAACAAAGAAAAAAGAAACTTCTTCAGTGCTGCCAAGAAAAGGAATAAGGAGGGAGGACCAGCTGTACCAGGAGTCAAACACGAAGTTTCTGTAATTACAGCCGAACGGGGCTGGTGCACGAACAGAGAGAACAGGGAAACACAAACAGAAAATTCAGAAATAGGCCAAATTATTCATACTGTATCCATTTACATTCCATTTAATTACAATGCTACCATAGATTAAACGAGGCCGCATCTCACATCGACAGGGAGAGAGGTGGGCAATAGAGCAACTGTGGGCGCACGGTGACCACACAGGAGCCAGGGAACTGCCTCCACTGCCTCACGCCACTCAGGTTCAGTTACGTTCCAGGTTTACATGGAAAAGTGAACCCACAGCCATAACACAAACAACATGGATACATTCTTTGTATCCGAGGGGTATGAAAAATATTTCTAAGATCTGACACAGAGTAAGGAAAAGGACTAATAAGTTTGATAACAAAAAACTCACACACATAATGTGAGACAAGAAACACCAGAGACAAATTAAAGCAAAAATGTCAAACTAAGGAAAAAAAAGTTTCCAACTTACATCAAGGGGGTGAATTTCCCTGTTATACAAAGAATGTCGAAAAGCACGGGAACTAAAATTCAACACCTTGACAGAAAGTGGAGTAAGAGGTGGAAATAAACATTCAGAGGAAATTTAAATGTGCCTTGAATATATCCAAAGACAGTAGCATACACTCATAATAGAGAAAAATACATCAAAACCAAAAATAATATAACTAAATAAAATAATTTTAAATGATACCTCTATTTCCAAGGTGAGATGCTGTTTGTCCCCTCCAGGTCTGGCAGAACTGCAGACTGTGCTGAGAGTCAGCCGGAGGGGGCGGGGGCAGCAGGTCCTCCTCTGCACCGCTGGGGAGCAGGGAACCACAGTCCAACCCCTCAGAGCAGAAGCCACAATACCTTGTAGAGTCCACGGGCACCTTCCCTCCTGTTACCAATCCCCAGTTTCAGCTTATGTCCCTGAACTTTGCTGACAAAAATTACAGCAAAAGTCATACATAAGGCTCTTTTTTGCATCATTACTTTCAGCACCAAAAAACAAAATCCTATCAACTGGCCACCAGTAGACGACGGGCTGAATGAACTAAGGTGTGTCCACACCGGGAACACCTGGCCAGATGTGAAAAGGACAGAGAAGTGTCTCCCTGCACCAGAGCAGGGAGACCGCCAGGGTGTCTACCACCAGGGGAAGGAAATAATGTGGAGTTCACCTACCATCTCTCCGGTAAGGGGGATGTGAACATCATCTATAAACTATAACAGGCACATCATTCACATATATGAAAAGGCAACAGCAGGATAATCTGAAAACTAACCCGACACAGAAGTTTCCTGTGCGGGGATGGGAGAGACAGGGTGGGGGGGCAGGGACAGGGGCTCGAAGTCGGGTGTCCTGGGTGCATGTAGATTTCATAGGTTTGATCTTGAAACCAGGAAGGTAGTTTACATAATTACACACCAAAAATTATACTTTAAAATACTAATGTCAAAAGCAAATGAAACAAACAAATCTAATGGTATTTTGTGAGGTGGATGAACTGCGCCATAAGGAACTGGTCTGAGAAACTTGGAAATGCAGTCATTTCATTGTTCATCTCTAGTAAGTTCCATATACCAAAAAAAACAAACTTAAATCACCAAAAATGCAAAACCTGAAAAAAGATCTCCATTTGTTCTAAAAAATCCTCATCTTAGTTGCTTGTGTGTGTGTAGTGTGAAGCCCATTGGAAAGGCACACAGACACAAATAAGCCTGGTGACAGTGGGCCCCCTCAGAGCCCAGCTCACTTCCCACCAAAGGTCAGGGCTCGGAGGAGAAAGCACCAATTCCAGGGTGGGGCAGGACACATGTGCATGGGGCCCACATGCCCTTGTCCACCAGAGAGTCCAGGTGTGCTGACCACTCACTAGCATCTCATCACAGGGACTGAGGGCCACTGCAGCAGAATCCAACTGGACCTGTATGGGACAGTTTGAGCACCGATAATAATTCCAGTGAATGCAAAGGCATCAAACATGTTGAAATCCATGGGGTCATAGCAATGCCTTCTTCAAAGTGGCCCTTCTATCTCTGGGGCATCTGCTAGAAAGCATCCCCCTGCTCTGCACATGGACACACAAAGGGGAAGAGTCAGGCGTTCATCTGTGTCTCTCACACACCTGCTCCTCATGGAAATGAGAGAGAGCTTGAGGGGAGCCTTCTTTTCCCAGGATTATTCCACCCAACACAGGAGGAAGGGATGACAGCACTTGAGTGTCATCACTTGTGACCCTTAATGAGACTAAGGCAGCCATTAGTGTCAGTTAATGTCACAGACAGACTGACAACCAGATGTCATGGGCCTTCTGACGGGAGTTCACTGCTGCACCTGTGAAGTGTTCCCCCCAAAATCAGTCCACCTTGAACCTGACCAGGCCTCTCCTTAGACAGAAATTCACAAGGACGCTGTAACGGGAGGAGCAGGAGAGCTGACACCTTTGATGGAACTGACAGAACACACACCGCCCGACTCTACTGGACAAGACACCCCCCTTTCTTACCCAGAGAAATCTCCCAGAAAGCAACAGGGAAGCTGGAAACGGACATATTAAATTACATTTAAGAGATATGAAACAGTTGTCATTTATGGATCTTATTTGGATCCTACTTCAAACAACTTTTAAAATTATGAGAAAATCAGTAAAGTCTGAACACAGGTGGTAACAGTTTTTTAAAAACTCTAGTTGCTGCCCTGGCTGGTGTGGCTCAGTGGATTGAGCACCTGCCTGCGAACCAAAGGGCCGCTGGTTTGATTCCCAGTCAGGGCACATGCCTGGGTAGTAGGCCAGGTCCCCAGTAGGGCATGTGAAAGGCAACCACACATTGATGATTCTCTCCCTTTCTCTCCCTCCCTTCCCCTGTCTTTAAAAATAAATAAACTCTTTTTTAAAAATTCACTCTGTTTAAAAAAAATTGTAGTTGCTTTTTGAAGTCTGAGGATGGCAATATTTTTCAGTGGTTTCAAATATTCACTGGTAAACAGAAGCAACATCTGACGCCTGCTTCCAAACGCTGTGGGGCGGGGAGGGACTGGCGAGTCTACGGGTGAAACCAGACTGGCATCAGAGGGTGACTGTTGAAGCTTGGTTCAGGTCGAAGTTCCCTCTACTCTTCCCTTTATCAGGAAACAGTCAAAACTTCCACAACTAAAAATTTGGTCTGTGTGTAGGATCACCACTACTGAACACTCTGTAGCAAGCACCCAGATAAATATTTTTGCATTATCTCATTTACTCCCCAGAAAGAGTTGGCAAGGAAACTCATTTTATTATTCTGACTTTTTATCTTCACCCAAGAATATGGTCATTGATTTTAGAGAGAAAAGAGAGGAGAGAGAGAAATGTCCATGTGAGAGAGAAACATTGGTTGCACCCGGCCCGTGCCCCACTTGGGGACTGAATCCACAACCTATGTATATGCCCTGACGGAGATCGAACCCATAGCCTTCTGGAGTATAGGAAGACACTTCAAACAACTGGGCAACCTGGCTGGGGCTGTTATGCTCACTTTTAAAATAAGGACATGATGTGGCTCAAAAATGTTGAGACACTTGCTCAAGGTCACGGTGCTCACAGGCACTGGGCAGTGCACGGATTCCATTGAAAGTCCCCCTGACTCCCGCCTTTCCCCTGACCAGGGCCCACAGTGGGGAGTGAGCCCTGACTCCCTCTTGGCCCCAGCTCTAAAATCTCACCAGTCAAGCTGGACAGGGAGCGGGCAGGGACAGGCATCCCCTCTCTCCCAGAACCCAGAACTGAAGGAACACTAACCTGGGCAGGGGAAACTGGGGGTTCTCTGCACTGCTCCCACATGACAGCCCTCCTGCACTGCCCTGGGATCCTCCTCACCGCCCATGACACTCGTTGGGGCCCTGGCTTCTCCCTGCCGAGTGATGGACCCTGAGTCCTAGATTCCTCTGCCACCAGGGATGAGGGCCACCCCTGGAGGGCCACCACACGGCCTGGGATCTTGATCTTGGCAGTGGACAGAGGCACTTGGACGGCCTGGTCTCTACATGGCAGTCAGCCCTGATCACCTGCCCCGGGGACACTCAAGTTTCCCATCAAGGGGGGAGGAAAGCTCAGCAGCAGCACCAGGGTCCATCACACCAGCAAACGCATGAAGGCACCCCTGTCAACACACATGTGGTCTGTCCATATGACACTCAGGACATTATGCCAATAACACAGCCCCTTACTCTCCTCCCTGCCCCCCACCACTACCTTCTGACAGCACACTTGTCCCACTGTGCAGCTGGCACAGTGCCTGGTGCCTCCTCAGACCAGAACCACCCCCTGCACCTGCCCTGGCCCCACTGCCCTCCCAGCCCTATGGCTCAGTTGGGTCTCAGCCAGGCTCACCTTCCCTTCAACCCGCTGAGGAGTTCCCGGGTCTTCTCCAACGGAGCTCTTTCAGCTGCTGCTTGTGCTTTAACTGTGAGGAGAGAGTTCGCACCCTTGAAAGCGCTGAGCCAGGAAGCTGAGGTTGGGTGGGGCCAGCAGAGGACCTGTTTGCTTTTAAAGAGACAGAAAACAGTGTCCCGTAATTTGGTGGTGCTTCAGTTTTGCCAAATTCCAAGCTTGGGTTGATGTGCCCGCTCCCACACCAGAATTTCCAGAGCTATGTTCAGGATTTTGGATGATGGCGGTGGATCACAAACACCCTTATTAAATGACCCAAGTCTTGCCCAGAAAGCCCAGTCCAGCGTCTGGTCATCTTTGCTGTGCAGTGGGCAACAGCGGGGTGATTCTGAAAGGAGGAAGTCAGGCAGGTGACTTGGAGCTCCTCGGGAACTACTCCTAGTGATTGTCTGCTGTGGGCTTTGAGTCCAGTCTTTCAGGAGGGTCTCAGTTCCTCATTCAGAAATTACAGGACTCAGGTGCAGAGGTGAAGGGGTCTACACCACTAGGAGCCATGAGGAAGAGAAGAAGGGGGTTTGGGGAAAAGTCTCTGTGACCACACAGCCCCTCTGGTGTTTTCATGTGGCCCTTGCCAGCTGGAACGTGCCCCAGGGTCTGACAGGTACAGATGCTCCCAGGGAGCAGACCCAATTCCCCTCCCACCCTTTCTGTCTTCCCCCACCCCAGGCCCAGAAGGAGGCACCTGTGTGAGATTCAGCCAGCAGACAGATGCCACAGGCTCCAGGACTGCTATCCAGTGAGAGGTGGGCTGTCAAAGCTCTCATGGTGGACACGATGTTCCAGTTATCTGCTGCATCATCATTAAATATTAATTTTTATTATACATTTTGGTCCAACAGATAGAGAAATTTGATTGGTCAATTCTTAAGATTTCGGGTAGGTACTAAGAGGACCCAATGTGGCAGGACGTAGGGGACAATGGGGTGGCTGCCCATGGAGGGAAGCAGCAAGATTTGGAAATGAGGGTGTTCATGACTTGTCATTGGTCCAGAGCATTGGACCAATTATTGGTGCTAATGACTCGGTCACCGTGAAGGGCCAGGTAACAGTTTCCTGGTTCCAATAGTGCCACACAGCAGGACCAGCTTTGAAATTCACAGGGTCTGGCTCACACACAGCAAATGCCAAGCCCATTCTTTAAACATCAGAAGATTTCAGGATGCCATTGTTGACAGAGCCCTGACCCACGTGAGGGGCCCCTCTCAGCACAGGGCCCTGGGCAGCCCCACAGGTCACTCCCCAGGGGGCTGACCCTGACCCTGCTGCACGGGTGTGACTCAGCAGCACAGCCAGGACCTCATCTCCTGCTCAACCTGTCCCCCCATGGCCCAGTCTCAGGTCACTCTGCACAGTCCTTGAGTGAACCCTGTCCTGCCAGAAGCTGCCTTGCATGTTTTCCTGGTGAACTCCTTGCTCTGAGGGTATGACACTCAGGTTCACAGTTCAGTTCCCCAAAGGGAAGAGGGAAGAGGTTGAGAGAACCCACAGATGCTGCAGGGATGGGACACGGGTCTCAGATGGGAACAGCATTGACACCATTGGTCTCACAGGAGCTTCTGGAATATGGCAGCCCCACCCTGACACTGACACAGGGGGGTTCTCCTTCTAGGAGACTGTGACAGAAGGAGGGTCGTCTCACCTCCCTCCTGACTGTTCATGCAGCCAGGCTCTTCATCACGAGGAGCTCCTGTCCACTTCCAGCTCTGCTGTGAGCCACCTGTCCCCCTGCTGCTGGTCCCCACCTGCGACTCCTGAAGCTGCTCCTCACACTCCCCAGATGCTGCTCCTTCCACACCGTCAGAAGGAAGGACACAAATTTTGTAGAAAGCCACAGCTTCCTTTTCTACAGTTACCTTTATTCTTTTTCTGTTTATTCTTTACATCATATGCACACACAAGTGGAGGTATATGAAATTTTTCAAAGTTTGGGGTTATTAAGAACCATTTCTTCATGTTTTATCAGGGTTTGAGCTCCTTATGGAACTCAGGACATTTTCTGCTGCTGTGATCTCGATGAATTCAAAGCTCAAACCTACTACAGCATCACGGAAATAACAACAGGAGGTGAAAGGAATGGTCCCTCACGCTGTCCTGACTCCCCCATGAATGAACCATCAGCCTTGGTGTGTGGGTGCCCTGTTGCTGCATCACAAAGTACCGACAACCTAGGGGCCTAGGAGAACACAAATTTATTACAGCTCTGGAGGCCAGGAGCCTCAAATCAGTCTCACAGAGACAAAGTGAAGGTGTCATCGGGGCTGGTCTCTCTGGAGGCTCCAGGGGAGAATCCCTCTCACCTCTCCCCCTTCTAGAAGCTGCCAGAATTCCTTGACTTGTGACTGCACCACTCCAGTCTGGGCTGCCGTCACCACATGGCTTCTTCCTCCTTAGATCGTCCTGCCTCCTCCTCTCGGGGCCTTTGTGGTTCCGTGTGGGACCCACTCAGAGAGCCCAGGACAATCTCCCTGTCGCCCCACCATGAATGATCCTCATCTGCAAAGACTCTTTAGCAATAAGGTGACATTCACAGGCTCTGGGGATCGGACATGGCTTTCACAGGGGTGGGCAAGTGAACCTCTCTGCAGCTCACACTGCTGATGGGAAACTGAGGTACTTACTAGAGAGCACACTGACAGTGGTGGGAGGTCATGGGAGAGCTGGGTGGGGGTTTGGGTGGAGGGACTGAAGGAAAAAGAAAGGAAAAACTCATGAACAGACAACAGCGTGGTGATTGCCCAGGGGAGGTCGGGGGTGGTGGAGGAGAGCACAGGGCGCTAAATGGTGATGGGGAAACACCTCACGTGGGTGGTGACCACACAATACAGGGTGCAGATGGTGAGATGTGGGATTACACACCTGATACCTGCATTGTTGTGGTTCCCAAGGTCACCGCCAATAAACTCAATGAAGGGGGCAGGGATAAAAATAAAATAAATAAAATGGAGTATTTCCTTCATTGGGTTGGAGTCAGAACCAGGAAGTAAGCACTAGTGTAAAAACCATATTTGCCCTGTGACTGTGGCTGTGGGCTTGGGGATGGACAGGCTGGCAGGGGGAGGGGGGCGCGGAACTCAGAAGCACATGGGAGCAAAGGCAGAGGTGGCCTCGGAGGGACTGTGCTGGGCGCTGGAATGTTAAACACCAGATCTCAGATCAAGGTGAGGACCTTGTCGTTGGACCCCAGAGGACAGGGGGTGGTGTTCCAGAGTCAGGGAGAGTCAGGGAGTCCTGTCTGCTGCCAGAAGGAAGGAAGAGCTTGTAAGTGATGAACTGAAGTGTTGAGCTGAGGGGTGTCTGAGCTCGCTGTGTGGGGTGCAGGCTGGGTTCTCCTTGTCAAGTGTGAAGGCAAGACATACAATCGATGCAGCCTCCAGCCAAGGACTTCCCAGGACTGCCACCTGCCCCAAGAAGCTGGGCACCAACCAGGAGTGACCCTCCAAGGATCCTTCAGGGTGAGTGGGGCTCGGCTGATCTTTTCATGCAGGACTCCTAGGCCTGTGGGACCACAGATTTCTGCAGCTCACAGGGACACAGTGTGTGGGACAGTGTTTCACCCACCCTCAGGATCTCATAGGACACCCTCCTTTCCTCCCCGTCTCTCCTGCCTCCTCCTGTTCCATCCTCGGCACAACCAGGGACCCCCAATCTGTGTGAGTGTAGGGCGACTCAAGGTTGGCCCTCTCAGTGGCAACCCCACACCTGGTTCAGGAGTACCTGGGGGCCTGGGGACCAAGAACTGCTGACTTTCTCAGAAAGGTCTTGAACTCTGCCTGACCCTGTGCTCACTTCCCAAGCTTCTCCCACCACATCCTCTTTACTCTTTTACTTTCTCATCTCAGACCCCTTACAGAGGAAGGTCATGGTTGTCCTCAGTTTATACATCACGAACACAAAACCAAACTGTTTTGCCTTGAAAGACACAGAGGAAGTGAGTGGTTCTTGAACCCTTCACTGGACTTCAATGGACGGGCCACCAGCCAGGCTGCTGTGGGCTCAGCAGGTCCTGAGATAGCCCCTGCATGACAGCAGCTCCAGGCCCACTGGCTGGAAGGAGGAGTCAGACAAAATCCCAGACATAGACCACAGCGGGGTGCTCACCAGGGGACGCAGGGGAGTATAAAGGGTAAAGGGGGTCAAGTGTGTGGTGACAGGAGAGCTGACTGTGGTGGCAGGCACACAGTGCAATACACAGATGATGTGTCAGAGAATCGTACACTGGAAATCTCTATAATGTTATCAAACAATGTCACCCCAACAAGCTTAATTTTATAGATCAATAAAGAGTTTTTATCTAAAACATAGAGGAGGGCATTTTCCCTTAAAAAATAAGACAACATGAGCTTTTATGCATTGAAACACACAGGAGACAAAAGCCTCAGCTGACAGCACAGGATGACCAAAGTGTCTGACAACATGTCCCCTCCCTTAGCCCAGTGACACTGTTTTGTTCCCTGGGCTTCAGAGCCACCTGTCCTATGAGCACATCAGCGCAGGTGTCTGCCATTAACCCGTGAACTGCAGTCAGGAGGGGTGAGTGGCTCTGACCAGCCACTCTCAGGATCTGAGGCTTTGGGCACAGCCACACCCCTCTGAGCCCAGGTGTCTTTACAGATGGAAGACAGGGGGTGTCAGATCACTAAGTCCCTTGTCTTCTAGGGAGTGACATCACACGACAATGTCTGGGTCCTGCCCCATGAGGACAAGGGCCCAGACCCTCCCAGGGGTGGGAATCCTGAGCCCTGGCCCCACACCCTCACTTCTCAGATGGTGGTTGGTTGTAGTGATAAACCTGAGACAACAAATAGGGTCTTCCAAGGATCCCACGTGGAGGGACCCGTCCTGGGACCCTTGGCCTCAGGGCTCTGGTGTGAGGGAGCAGTATTACTATGGGCCCCCTTCTCCCATGCTTTGAGTCTCAGGGGTCATCAGAGGGAGGGAGAGTCACAGAGAGTGACAGGTGTCAGTCACTGTCCATTCACCACTTGGCACCAGCTGCCAACAAAGCAGGGAGCAGGGACGCAGGTGAGCTTCCCCTGGTTCTTGTCACTTTCACCCCAGCCTCAGGCCCCTTCCGCTCTCATCAGCCAAGGCTGGTCCATCCCCTCCCACCAGAACCCACACGTCTGTGTGGACCCACCCTGAATCTTCACCACCCCGAGATCCCAGGGGCAGAGGGAGAGGCTGCTTAGAACAGGCACCGGGGGGAGAATTCAGAGGTGGCCCATCCATCTGGTAGCATCAGGCACTTGCCCTCTTTCTGGGATTTTCAGTTTGGTTTGCACAATTTCTGATGTTATCCACAT